TGTGGGTGCTGGTGCGTGTGTGTCTGTGTGTCTGTGTGTGTGTGAGTGGCCCAGAGTGGCTGCCAGGACTGAGCAGATCAGCAGGAAGAGGAATCACGCAGAGTCCTGGCCCTGTGTCCCTTGAAACCCACAGGGGTCTTCTGGGCTCTGGCACTGGCCCTGCCCCTGCCGATCTGACCCTCTCCCTCCTGCTGCAGGGCACACTGAGGCACAGGGGAACAAGGTCCTCCAGGGCCAGGAGTGTGAACCCCACTCACAGCCGTGGCAGACGGCCTTGTTCCAGGGTGAGCGACTGCTCTGCGGGGGCGTCCTAGTGGGCTCCAGGTGGGTCCTCTCTGCAGCCCACTGCAAAAAAACGTGAGTAGATGCTGGGACGGTGGGGTGCTTGAGAAGAGGGAGTGAGGCCTCAGCTTGCAGAGAAGAAAGCTGGACCCCGGGTCTGAGGGAGGAGGGCTGAGTCCTAATTGAGGACGAGGCTGGCTCCCAAGCTCCCCTCACGGTTTCCAGAAAGTACACAGTGCGCCTGGGAGATCACAGCCTACAGAGTAAAGATGAACCAGAACAAGAAATCTCTGTGGCTCAGTCCATCCAGTATCCCTGCTACAACAACAGCAACAATGAAGACCACAGTCATGATCTGATGCTCATCCGACTAAGAAAGCAGGCGTCCCTAGGCCCCAAAGTGAAGCCCATTGACCTGGCGGAGCATTGTGCCAAAGCCGGCCAGAAGTGCACCATATCGGGCTGGGGCACTGTCAGCAGCCCCCGAGGTAGTGAGAGGGCTTGGCCACCGCGGGGCGGGGGAGGACGAGCTGGCGCCCGGCGGACCCGGAGCCACTGGTAAACCTTGTTGTACCAGGAGGAGACAAAAAGGGGAAGGGATTTAACACTGAGTCCTGGAAGACCAGGCAGGAGTGGTGAGGGGAAGAGGGTACATTCAGAGTCCAGCAGGGCTCCGTAACCCTCCTCTGGATGAATAGTGCTGTCCTCAGAGAGCTTTCAGGGTTTTATGTACTCTTCTTAACAGAGTTAGGGTACGAGGACTCCTAGGAGGCTCAGGAAAGACTCTAAGCGCCCTCTTCCCTTGAACCCAGGATCCTGGCCCTGTCCTCTCTCCCCGGTGACCCAAGAGCCCAGACCCTTCCTCGCTCGGGACTCGGTGGCCCAGGTCCCCAATCCCTCCTCGGTCTGGGCGTCTGTTGAAGCCATCCCTTCGGGACTTTAGAATCCAGACAACCCCTCATCGGGGCTCGGCACAGGCAGTAGGGTTCTCCAGACAGTGGCAAAGCCGGGATCGAGTCCCTGCTTGTCTTCCTCCTACTGTGAATGAGACGGTGTGTTGCTGTCAAAGCACAGCTGCTCATGAAGCAGGTAGATCTGTTCAAACTCGGCCTCTCCTCCTCCCCGGGGAGCCCCTCCTCCTCTCCCAACCTCGATTTCCTCCTCTGCAAACTGGGAATCATTACCCAGTAGATGTTTGTGCTCCGACTTACCCCTATTTTCTTCACTGTATGCCCCTAGTTCTTGGAACGGTGCCTGTATACAGTAGGTGCTCAGTAAGTGCTGGGTGGAGAATGAGTGAATGAACGAACGATACATCCCTCCTTCAAAGAGCTGGTGGGAAATTCACGTGATGGCGAGCACACAGCCTCTGACACACAGAGGCTTTCTCCCCCTCGAGTCTGTTCCACAAAGATGGATAAGAGGATTAATTCCATTTTCAATAATTAGGCCAGAACCACACGGGGTAGCGTGCGAGGTGGGGAAAGTAGACGATAAACAAATACTGTGTAAAACTAAATGTTAGGTAGACTTAAGTGCTGCCGTAAGCTGTTGCAGAGGGCCTAGAAAAGAGTGGTAGAGGGGCAGTGTTTTAACTAGAGTGGTCACTTCCGGAGGCTTCTCGGAGGTGACTTTTACAGGAAGGAGGATTAACTGGAAATTGAGGACTCGGTGGCCTGAGGGCAGGGACCTTGGAGGGAGAGGGTTGGGAGGTGACACAAGCGGCCACCTCCAAGGCTCTCCCCAGGGGCACAGCTCTGCTTGGAGTGGGGAGAAGTGATGTTCCCTGAGAAATAAGCCGGTGAGCGCCCTCAAGCTTCAGGTGGGCAGAGGGAGGTGAGAGCCAGACCGGGATGGACAGGATGGGCCGCTCTCTCACAACCTCCTGCTCCTCAGAGAACTTTCCTGACACCCTCAACTGCGCAGAGGTGGAGATCTTCTCCCTGAAGAAGTGTGAGAAGGCCTACCCAGGGCAGGTCACGGCCGGCATGATCTGTGCGGGCAACAGCAACGGGGCCGACACCTGCCAGGTGAGTGACCCGAAGCCCTCTCCGCCGTCTTCCTCCACCTCCGTCCCGCAGAGGCTCAAGTCTTGTGGGGAGTGGTGGGAAGGTGACCCCAAAGAGTTAGCCAGAGAGGTCGTCCTTTTCCCTACACAGTGGAGTGGAGTCGGGTTCATAGGAAGCCATGCTCCCCGAGGCTCACACAGCGCAGGGCCCGGGAGCGTTGCTCCTCAGAGTGATTTCCTTGGCAAGCCTGGCCTGCAGGATGAGAGGCAGGGAGGGAGGATGTCCGCGAAGGAGAGACTCTGAGGCTGGAGGCCAGGCCAGCTCGCCGCTCCACTTCCCAGCTCTCCTACCTGCAACTTGTGCCCACACCACCCCTGGCCCGGAAGTCAGCCTCCTGTGTGAGCCCTGACTAGGGTCCGAGGACGGCTCCCACGCCCTGAGATGGCTCCTCGGGGAGTCATGCTTTGCTATCGACTGTCCCCTCAATAAACTCCCCTGCCCTTAGGACCTGTCATGGTGCAATATTCTCATCCCGTAACTCATGGCTGTAACCCGGGTCTGGTGTCCCCGGCTTGGTCCCCTTTGTGAAAGCTCCACCCCATCATTAATGATTGGTCCCTGAGACAATGCCTTCTCCCTCCTTGGCCACGAATGGATTCGTATCCCTCGGCGATGCTGCCATGAAAGCAGGAATCTCTCCATTCTTGCATAAAGGCAAGGGCTCTTCACAGAGATGCCCCTCCATGGTCCCTTGGGACCTGGGGGTTGTGTGTGTCTGTGTGTCCACAAGAACACAGCTCCTTTCTCCTATGTTTGGTTGGCATCTGTGGAGGAAACATCATGTCAGTTTCCTCCACATAATCCACCACAGTCTGCCTCCTCGATTGCACCCACTCGATTTCATTCACAGTCTTCCCTCATTGGTCTGGATTTTGGCCATAACCCTTAGATACCCTGTCGCATCTGGTACATCAGAGATCCCACCTTCTCACTTCTGATTGGCCTCAGGGAACAATGCTTTTATCCTCATTGGCTGTACGGGACCAATCACATTATAGAATCAATATTAAATGCCAGGATCAACACGAAGAAACGTTGTGGGCGTTTCAAGGCCCCTGCTCTCTACCAATTCCCTCCAGGGCGATTCCGGAGGCCCACTGGTGTGTGACGGCATCCTCCAGGGCATCACGTCCTGGGGCTCAGACCCCTGTGGGAAGCCCGATAAACCCGGTGTCTATACCAGCATCTGCCGCTACCACAAATGGATCAAGAAGACCATGGGCAACAGGGTCTGATCTTAGAAAAAGCCTTGGATCCTTTTCAATAAACACACCCCTGCTACTTCCTCGCCTGTCTGTGTTTTGGCCCTGTGGGGAAGGGTGAACCAGAAGGGGCTGCATCTTGCTTTCTGGATTGGTGGCAGATCTAAGAGATCAGGACCCCGTGGCTTCTTTGGCAAGAGCCTGTACCCAAAATAACTCCCCCACCTTTTTATTTCAGAAAGACTTGAATGAGGGGGAGAATTATTTCAGGAGAGAAAGGATTTTCAAATATCTAAGAGGCCAGTCTGTGAAATGCAGTCTTTTTTTTTTTTTTTTTTTTTTTTTTTTGTACTGGGGATGAACTCAGGTCCTTGCCCTTGCAAGGCAGGCGTCGGAACCACTGAGCTAAATCCCCAGCCCTAAAATGCAGTCTTGAAAAGGCTTTTGTTTAGTTTTTCCAAGAAGCCTAAGTGTTATAAGATTTCCTTCCCCGCTTTTCCTGGTTGTGGGATATGCATAGAAGAGTACAGGAAATGTTCACACATCAACACCAATGAAACCAACAAGTAGGTTAAAAAATAATACTTTAGGGCCGGGGATTTAGCTCAGCAGTTCAGTGGCCTGACTTGCAAGCGCAAGGACCCGAGTTCAATCCCCGGCACACACACACATAATAATAATAATAATAATAATAATAATAATAATAATAATAATAATAATACTTTGACATTCCTCAAAAATCTAGAAATCTTTTTTTCACAATTTAACAGCTAGAGGTATCAATGGAAGAAATAAACATTGTGTCCAAATTAAAGTGTGGAACAAAGGTCATTTGGGAAAGCTGTGAAAAGAGCAAAAGCTTAACATAAATTTTCTTAGGGAAAGGTGGGTGGGATGGTTCTTATAAGGATATAAATAGCCACTCTGCTAGGATTTCTCAGAGTACTGTATATTCTTCTAAAGGACTAACCCTAACCCTGCCTGGACAATTTAGTGAGAATTTGTCTCAAAATAAAAAGGACTGGGGATATAACTCAGTGGTAGAGCACCCTTGGGTTTAATCCCCAGTATTACAGAGGAGAGAAAGACAGACAGAGACAGAGAGAGAAGGAATATTGTTGGCCAGGCGTGGTGGCGCACACCTGTAACCCCAGCACTCAGGAGGCTGAGGCAGGAGGGTCACTGTGAGTTCGAGGCCAGCCTGGGCTACATAGTGAGTTCCAGGTCAGTCTCAACTACATAGTGAGACCCTGTCTCACAAAAGAAAGAAAGAAAGAATATTGTTGGCCCAGCTCACCTTTTCTCATTCAGCCACATCTGTTTGTGCTCTGGTCAGATGACCAGTCTGAGCCGGTCGGTGGCTATGTGAAGTCCCATGGTATGAACCATGGCTGCCTAGGGTTGTTAGGCCACTCTCCACAAGGGATACGAGTGTGTGAGATGACTTGTTCACATCAATCTCCAGCTATGACTGTCCCACTGCTCCTTAGATCCGTCACTGTTGCTAAAGAGAAAGCATGGCTCTTGTTGGCTTGACCTGGGTCATTTGTGTACCCTAGGGGGCGGGTGGGATTGGACACCTGTGATGGACAGTTTCACCAGAACTATAGGAAATGAGAAAGAAGCGGAGTGTTGTTCTTGAAGGAAGGGGGAAGGGAATCCAGAAAGTCAAAAACAATGGGCCATCAGAAGCCAGAGGCTGAGTTGGGAGATGCCAGAGTCATTGTGTCCCGGATCCCTCAGGGCAGGGCACAGCTGGCAGCATGGTCAAATGCCAGTTCTCATGTGTGGTCATGAGCTGGAGGGTGAGTCATCAGAAAGAGGTGTAGGACATGGATCTGAGGGTGACGGAGGTATGAAGCCTGGTGTCTAGGTGGGACTTAGTAACAGGTATTGGTGCTAACCCCAGAGGACACAGGAATCTAGGTTCTCGCCGACGTGGGGGGTGAGCATCATTAATGGGCCCAAGGAATGCATCATTAATAGTCTGTTTTAAGACAAATGAGATTCAAGGCATGTGAGGGTGGAATGGGAGAATTTCCTTCTGAGTGTGTGCGCACGCGCGCCAGTGTGTGTGTGTGTTTGTGTGTGTGTGCGCAGTGATGATACTATGGGCTTTTGCTTTCCCAGCATTTGAATTCTGACCCTTCTTCCTCCTTAGCTCTGTGGTTTTGCTCAAGTGATCTAATCTCTCTTAAACTTTTGTTTCCTCGTCTATAAAATGAGGGCGACAATCCTTACTTGGGCGGATGTGAGAAAGAATAGAGACGAACTGTGAGAAGCACCCATCACAGCAGCATGCAGGTAGACAAGACACGGAAACCGCTGTATCCCCTGGATGGTGGGATAAGGGAGCTGGTGTTAATTCAGTGCCTGCCCTGGGCCCACCAATCTTCCATCCATAATTGATGCAACCCTCCCAGCTGCCTCAAGCTTTGCACTCTTGTGCTTTAGAGAAGGGCAATATAGACTCAGAAAAATGAAGTCACAGGGTGGGCAGCTAAGACACAAACCTGGGTGGGACTGACTTGTGAGGACACTTTCTTTCCACCTCGCCTCAAGGCAGAATGGCTCAAAGATCAGGGCTGAGTATAAACATAGTGTGTCTGTAGGTGCCACAGGCTTGCAAACTACTATTTATTTAGGTTACTCCTGCATTTCCCGGTCTGAGATGGGTGCTAAAGAAAACAACAAAAGTTCCAAAGTGACCACCTTTGCTCATGAAGACTGGGATTAAAGACTTAGGACTACAACTCAGAGTGCAGCCATGCAAAGCACATCTGGTGACTTGGGAGGGATAACAGAGCTCCAGAGTAGCACTCTCCCTCCACTTTTTAACAGGATGCTGCGGACAGGACTGTGGGGACCGAGGTTGAGAGAAACCAGAGAGGATGATTCAGGCAGAAGATAAAGAACTGGGTGCCTTGTGAAAATTCCTCCCTTCAGAACGGCAAAGGAAGGTTACTGGCTTCTAGGTCGAGGAGTTGTCAGATTACATAACCCAGGTCTGTTTCTGTTCCTTGGGAGCCCAAATCAGGTAGGGTGACGCCCCTCAAGGCCAGGGTCCCACTGTGGAACGGGTAAGGCCAGGGGTCTGAGTTTTGGGATCTGATTTTGGACTTGGTGACAGTGGATTGCGTCAGGTTTCGTGACTGTTTTAAACTTGGCGTGGCACGCACACTAGAGTGGTGTGACTTGGAAGGGTTTGTTTTATAGTTGGCATGGAAGGAAAGTTGGAGAAATGAAGAAGGAGTGCGGGAAAGTTGGTGGTAGAAATGAAATTGGGATTTTTGTAGACTCTGGCTTGGAAATGAGAACAGGGATGGGTTCGGGCAGCACTAGGGTTGGTGTTGGATGGGCACAGGAGCTGCCTGCGATACGGTGGGGATGGACACTGAAGTCTGAGTCAGCTGTGAGGTGCTTCAGGGACCAAAGCTATGGTGGACATTCAGTGTCTGAGGCAAGGCTGAGGCCGACTCAGGGTGCGGGGTTTGGGATCAGATCAAAAGTTAGGTTTGAGGGTAGGTGAAGTTGGATCCTAGACTTCATTAATAAATGGAGTCAGAAACTCACGTTTAGGCTCTGGGTTTAGGTATAAGTTGGTGTTGGTCAAGGATGAAGCAGGATTTGGGTTTAAGATTAGGTGCGAGTTGAAGCTTGTTATTAAGCCTAGGGCCTTGTCAAGACTAGTGTTGGCGGGCAGTAGAGTTACGCCTGAGGCCAGGGTCTCCTGAGGTCTTTTTCCCCTTCTTAGAAGCAGCCAACCACTCCTGACCACGTCTCATCCGTTAATGGCACCACCACCTGGCAAGAACCTAAAGCCTCAGCATCTTCTGTCTCTCCACGTCTCCACCCTTCCTGCTATCACAGCCTGTGGATTCTCTCTCCCAAGTCCAATCAGAATCTGTCCACTTCGTGTCCTCTCCACCTCCCAGTGTCCTCATCTGAGTCACCGTCATGTCTCATCTAGACGACAGCAACTTCTCCACGGTCTGCCAACATCTTCCCATCTAAGTCCATCCTTATACGACATCCAGAGTGCTGTTTTGAAGATACAGATCCTGTTACGCCATTTCCCTGAAGCCCAAGTCACTCTTCTTTGTCCACAAGGTGCAGTCAGACTCACCAAGCCATGAAAGGCACTTTGGGGTCTGGCTCGGGGCTGCGTCCACACTGCTTCCAGCTCAGGCCCGTGCGCACGCTGTGTCCTATACACAGCACGGTCTCCTCACTCCTCCCATGTTTTTCCAGTTAATGTTTACTACGCTTGCACCTTTCTGTTCACTGCCACTTCCTGGGTCCAAACTGCCCAAAAGTGCTTCAGGACACCGTGCACCTTCCCTTCAAAGCACGTTTTATAGCTGTAATTTTACACCTGTTTATTAGGGCTACTGGATGGCTGTTCTTTTACACAAGATTGTCAGCTTGCTGGGAAAAGGGATACTCCCCAGGTTTACGCAGCTCGGTCTCCTCAGCATCTCATCCAGCTGTCATACAGCCAGTGCTCCGTAAATACTCAGTAAATGTATTATGTAAAGAACCAGGTCTGAGCCAGGTATGGGATGAAGGCCAGGGAGAGAGCCATCACTGGAGGGAGACTGGCCTTGTTGGCTGCTGTGGCTTCAAGATGAAGACTCAAGGTAGAATTGGATTGGAATTCACGGTTCCCAGTCACATTGGGGATCTTAGTTGGAATTTGGGTCAACACTGAGGTGTTAGTAAAGATGAACTCAGCTGTAAGGACCAAACAACTATATCCCAGACAGAAGCCTGACAGAAACACAAGATGAGGGATTCCACTGTTGGATAGTTCACCAGCGCGACAACCTCATCAAAGACCCAGACGACCCTCACTCTGGCCATCCGCAATGTTTTGGCTTGATCCACCATCCACGTACCCTCATGGCCCCAGGAAGGCTGCCACAGTGCCAGAATCGGCATACAGAAGGGATACCATCTAGCAGAATAAATGAGCACCCCTTGAGGTGACTCTGAAGATAAGGAAATTATTCTCAGAAGGTCCCAGTAATCTTCCTTTCACTCCCTATTGGCTCAAAAGGCATCACATGTCCACCTCTGAACCAATCAGTGTCAAGCACGGTGTGGCTCCCGCATGTGGCTGGCCCAGGCTTAGGGTCGTGATGAGGGTAAAGGATTTCAAGCAGAATCAGCGGGGAAAGAGGTGCAAAGGAGTGCGTGCTCTGGCACGCAGCCATAATACCTATCATAGGTCAAATTAGGAGTGGAAGATGGAATTGGGTTTGGGATTCAGACTGCGAAGCTTGAGCTGGGGATGGAGGACTGGACCGCATTTTGGGGTCCGATGTAGCAACTGACGTCAACTCCACTTTTACAGGTTCGTGTTGAAGTAATAATCACGTCTCCCCCAAGGTCCACCTGGGTCTGTTCCTCACTCCCCATAAACTTGGGTTCAGGTGCCGCCTTCACACGAGCCTTCGGACCTCCTTCCTGATAGGGTCACCCCAGGGAAGCAGCATCGCCCCAGCCCTCTTCCCTGCCTTAACTCCCTTCCACTGCACTTAGTACCTAATGAGTTCTGCGTTCCACCTGCTCATTTTTGCACTCGGGGTCTCTGCCCCACAAGAACAGTCAGATCTACACCTGCAGGAATGTTGGGCTGCATCCAGAATGGATCCCAGGCCACGGCCGACCCTCGATGGACACTTCTGGGATGGATACGAGGAGCAGAGAAGAACAGATGTCTCATCCCTCTTACAACCAAACCCCCAGCCCCCCGCATGGACTTCAATTTGAGGCAGGTTGCAAAATATTAACACTATGGTATGGAATATTTCACAACATTCAAACATGGAGAAATTATCACATATACCAACTGGGGAAAGCGTTCCAGATACTTTACAAGGACAAAAATGTTAAAAGCCAGGCATGGTGATACATATCTGGAATCCCCAGCACTCTGGGAGGCTGAGGCAGGAGGATCACAGAGTGGAGCCCAGCCTGGGCAATTTAGTGACTTAGCAAGACCTTATCTCAAAATTAAAAAAAAAAAAAGCATGGGGAAAATAGTTCTGCATGAAGGCCCTGGATTGAATGTCCAGTATTTTTTTTTTAAATCATATTACATAATATTTAGTACAGACACTTTTGTTATCAATACATAATATAGAGACAACCCTACGGATATAATCAGAAATAGACGAGAACACAGATTGCTAACCATAAGCAGGCAGCAGGTAGAGTTTAGGGAAGCACTCCTTCTCCTTTCGCTATTTATTACAGCTGGAAGTGGGTTCAGAACGGAAGGCCGGCAGGTGCAACCCGTATGAACCCCACAGCTGGTCAGAACTGAGGTGTAGGGTCTAGGCCACTCCTGGGAGGGGACCAGGGCAGGAAAGGCCCAGGGCAGGAGCCACAGCAGAGCCAGCCTTTGCTCCAGCCCTTCTGGAATCCCTTTCCCGCCCCTCCAAGCCGGCGCACCTGGTCCTCCCCCGTGACCCTGACCTCCGGAGCCAGAATGTGCGTGGGTGGGCGAGCCAGCGAGCTGGGTGACGCCAGACTTGATGACCTGGCTTCGAGAAGAAGGGTGGAGAAAGAGCGGGGTGGTATCAACTGCTTTGGCTGCCTCAGGGGTTCAGATAGCCAGAGCCAGCAGGAAGAGGTGTCCAAGCGAGGCTCCGCCTGCACCCCAGGGTGCAGGGGGAGGGGAGAAGGCGGTGTATAAGAGCCCGGCCCTGCACTGTACTGCACACTTGTCCCAGCCTAGACCAGAACCTAGATCAGATCGGAGACTGCTGTGGAGGTAAGAAGGGGATGTGAGTAGCAGGTCAGGGCGGGTAGGAGGGGGAGCCCAGGAAGGGCAGGCCTGCTGCTGCCCTTGCCTTCTGCTTAGACCGGGAGGTCACTCACTGGCACCTCTTAAAGGGGAAGAGAAAGGATTCACACTTACCGTTTGAGAAGACGGGAGACGGATGGGAGCTAGGGGCGGAGGGTCTGCAATTCCGGTCTGAGGCGGAGCCTGGGCATGGACCCCTGGTCTGAGGGAGGAGGCTGGGCCTGGACCCCAAAGCCTGAGGGAGGAGGGCTCCAGACTGAACTTTCCATCCTGAGTTTTCTCCCCTCCCTTGCCGCAGTAGAAGTGGCCCGTCCTTGTCTAGCTGCCCCTGAGAGACTGTAAAGCACCATGGCAGGATCCCGTTTCCTGCCCCTGCTGGTTCTGCTGCTGGGCTCAGCCCTGGTAACTGCCGAATGGGTTCGTGTAGACTCTCCTGAGGTCCACACCGACAGTCAGCCTCACCAAGGAGCCCGTCAGCCTCACCAAGGAGCCCGTCAGCCTCACCCTGGAGACCGTCAGCCTCACCAAGGAGACCGTGAGTCTGAACCATCCCTCCTGGACAGCTTCCTTCCAGGAAAGGCCGGGCTGGGCGGCTCTGTGCTTTCTGCTTCTCTCTGCCAAGCCCGGCCTCTGCCTGCGAGGTCTCTCTACCAGTCCCTGTGCCTGCGCCTTGCTCCCACGGCCCCTCCCACACCATCTCTCACCTTCTCTGCCTTCTGCTCCGTCCTGGCCTCAGCATTCTGCCTGTGTCTCTGCCTGTCCACCTCCCAGATGCTGGCTACTTACATGTGTCTCTGTGTCCCTGACAGGTGAGGGTGACGGGAACGGGGACAGGATTATCGATGGCTACGAGTGTGAAAAAGGCTCCCACCCTTGGCAGGTGGCCCTGCTCAAGGGCAGCCAGCTGCACTGCGGCGGCGTCCTGGTTGACAAGCGCTGGGTGCTCACGGCCGCCCACTGCAAGATGGGGTAGGTACTGCCCAGGGCCAGCCGGCGAGGTGGGGAGTCACAGTCTCTCTCTGAGCATCCCCGCCTTCTCCAGCCAGTACACTGTGCAGGTGGGTAGTGACAAGCTCGGGGACAGAAGCGCTCAGAAGATTAAGGCCACAAAATCATTCCGCCACCCGAAGTACTCCACACAGACCCACGAGAATGACATCATGCTGGTGCGGCTGGATAACCCAGCCAGGATGTCGTCCAGTGTGAAGGCCGCCAACCTGCCCACCCGCTGCGAACCCGCTGGGACCTCGTGTTCCGTCTCTGGCTGGGGCACTATAACCAGCCCTCAAGGTGACATTACCTCAGTGATCCAGGGTCCAGGCCCAGTCTCTTCTTTCAGACCCGGGGGTCCGGGCCCAGCCCCTGGTCCTTCACTCCCAGTTGTCCAGGCCAGCAGCCCCTTGGTACTTGGGCCTCCCTCTCCCTGTAGGTCCAGCAGCTGAGTCCCAGGCACCTGAGAGACAGCCTCCCTTCCCTTTCCCACAGTGACCTTCCCGGCCCAGCTCATGTGCACAGATGTGCACCTCATCGCCCCCAGTGAGTGCAAGAAGGTGTACAAGGACCTGCTGGGACAATCCATGCTGTGTGCCGGCATCAAGGACTCCAAGACCAACACCTGCAACGTGAGCCTCTCCTCCCCGCCCTGGCCCGGCCTGTGCCATCCTCTCCCTCTTCCGTCTCTCCCTCATCCCCTGCAGGCCAGGCGTGTGAGCATCACGGGCTGCTGTGATTCGGGGCACGGGCAGGGTTTCATGTGGCTGAGGAAGGATGCCTGGGACTGGGGAGCAAGGCCTCAGCCCCAAACTTCGTGGGGCACCAAAAACCCAGCGACTGAGATAAAGTACATTCTGGGCCTTTTTTCTTTTTTTCTGGTATTGGAGATGGAACCCAGGGCTTTTGCACTGGGCTATATCTCAGCCCTTTTTTATTTTTTATTTTGAATCAGAGTCTCATGAAGTTGCTGAGTTGCCTAGCCTGGCCCCACACTCGCCGTCCCCTGGCCTGGGCCTCTCGCCGTGTGGGGATTCCCTGAATTCCCTGCCACATCTGGCTTCTGAGCAACACGCTTCAAGAAGTTGGCTCAAAAAGAGCCAAAATCCCAATTTAACGAGTCGCCCAGTTTTACTGAATTTTCCTTTTGCCTCTGGGCCGAATATACTCAGCACAACACAGAACTCATACTATCTTCATTTAAAATTTGTGGGCTGTGTCCATGCTGCTGGGGTTTTTGTTTTGTGCTTTGGATCACATTTGATTTTTTTTTTCTTCTTGTTTTTGTCTTTTGAGACAGACCTCGATTTGCAGTTCAGGCGGGCCTTGAACTCATAGCCTCCCAAGTGTTGGGATTACAGGTGTGCGCTACCACATCTGGCTACATTGGACTTTTTTTTTTTTTTTTTTTTTTTTTTTTT